TTATTATTATTATTATTATTATTATTATTATTATTATTATTATTATTTCTGAATTCACAAAGCAACATTTCTCTGAATCTGAAGCAGATTCTCACAGGGTTAGCCTCTGAGTCCTAAGACAGTCTAAATCTTTTATATAAAAATATTTCTTTCCAGACCCCTTGCTGAGGAGTGACTCTTTTAAAAAGTGGGGAAATTGCTGGAATATATATACAATAATGTTAAGTTTAGGCATGTTTTGTGTCAGGTATCTGAAAAAATCATCCATTGCATCCATCCAGAATAGCCAGAATTCCATAAAGGGGAAAATTACAAATCTATTCCCACTGATACAATTGATTCCCACTGATACAGGTGAATCACATTGTACATGTGAGATGTGATTCTAAATTCACTATCCAGAACAATATCTTACCTGGTCAAGAGGAATGTACTCATCCTTCTCTGCAACAATGAAAAATGTGGGATTTTTCAAGTTGAAATTGTCCTCCATTAAATTGACAACTCCTAAAATATATTTGACCAAAAGCTATATTAAAACCAAATATGTTAGTACAAATTGGCATCACAAACCCCTCTGTTGTATCATACAAACAATTCGAATTCAGAGATATTACCCCCAAACTCCCTATTTATAGTATTTGTTTCACTTAATCTTCTATAGATAAATATAGACTTGAAAAGTAAGTTGTCTGTATGAAGAGCCCTATAATACAATACCAAGAATTGGCCATTAGTCCAGGCCAGCATTAATGTCCCTTTCAGAGTAAAAAGCAGTACAAGAAAGGATTCATGATTGATATTCAATCACTGCTTGCCTTCGAGTGTGAACACTGACTCTGCCAATAATTTTGCAAGATCCAAAATTCCTAGTATGGAAATTGTTACATTCCCTAATATATCTTTCTGGGAAACATATCCCAATCATGGTGGTATTCTACCAGTTCGGACTGCTTGCCTTCGAGTGTGAACACTGATTCTGCCAATAATTTTGCAAGATCCAAAATTCCTAGTACGGAAATTGTTACATTCCCTAATATATCTTTCTGGGAAACATATCCCAATCATGGTGGTATTCTACCAGTTCGGCCCGGTTCGGCCAAACCGGTAGCTCTGAGGAACATCTGTGAGCAAACTGGTTTACTCTGACGATCAGCTGCTGGGCCCGCCCACCCCGCCCACCCACCCATCCCGGCTCTATTCTTACTTTATTTCCTGGTTTTAAAGCTCAGCTACTTTGCACGGCACGGTAGATTGCCACGCATCAGCTGTTGAACATACAGGGAGAGTGCAGGATTGCAGGAGAAGGTCAGTAGCAAACCCTCTGCGTGTGCACACAGTATGGCCACCAAGCCACACCCACAGAACTGGGGGTAAAAAAAATGTGATCCCAACACTGATCCCAATCTATTTATGTTACCAATTTTTCTATTCTCTCTCATTCCCTTGAAAAATAATAAACTGCAGTTTCCATTGCATTAAACACATACCATAGATGGACACGCCTACAGAAAATATAAAATAGTTCAACATCAAATGATGTACAGCAGATCCACCCCAACAGAAGCCAATGACGCCTATCCTCGTCACATGACATTCTTCCTTCAAATATTTCAAGACTACACCGATTTCCCTAAGGGACAAAAAAGTACGTTAGCAAAGAAATCAACCAGAAAAATAGTAATCTCAAGAGGAGGAAAATACATAAAAGCATACACAGATGGACCCAGGATAACCATTTCATGAATGGAAAGGGCTCCTTGTATTCACAAACCACCAGGATCTAGTAGCGGAGGTGTCCTACAAGGCAAAGGTGGCTGAAAGGCACTTGTTAAAAGTTCCCCCTTCCCAAATCACATGGAACAAGTTCTTAGATGGCTTCAAAAAGGAGCAAGAAGTACAAAGCTTTTACGCATTTTTGCTCTAGCATCAAATTTTGCTAAGTGCTGTTCTAGATTCATGTAATGAAATGAGGTGAATGGACAGCTAAGGCTTCATAGACCTGGAATGAATTTTGGAAACCTACATAGCAATTGGTGGCAAAGCTGTCAGGCATATTGTTTGGCCAATGAAAATGAAGAATTTATATCAGCCTAAATAATTAGCATAATACAAGACAATATTATGGTTGGCTTCACAGTTAGCCAGATATTTACACTGGATTTAACATTTTTAATCTACCTATCGAGATCTTCCCATCATGGATAGGCAGATGTTGTTTGATGGTACTGATGTAAGGCCTTCCAAGCACAATTGCCTTTTGCTGTTAACTGATGGGGATTTTACCAGTGCTGATGATAGTTAATACTCCAGATGTTTTAGGATTTTTACCAAATATACCCATTACTATTGGTACTATCTTTGCTTTCTCTTGCCACAGTTATTTTACTTCTAGTTTCAGATCTTTATATTTTGTGGTTTTCTTTAGTTCTTTCTCTCCATTGATGGATTGATAGAAACATTTCTGATATAACTGAAATTGGGTATTCTGTTTATAATGTACAGTTTGAGCTTCATTTCTGATTTTCTTGACAAGCTTTAATATAAGCAATCTTTTGCAATTGACTACTGGGAATTGTTTTGGCATTATTACATCATCTATCTATCTATCTATCTATCTATCTATCTATCTATCCATCCATCCATCCATCCATCCATTATCTATCCATCCATCTGGTGAGATGAGATGGATTGGGCTGTGAGGTGAGTTAGGCTGGGAACATGATGGGCCTCAAATCACCCAACCAGCTTTCATGCCTAAGGGAGGCTTAGAACTCATAGTCTCCTGCTTTCTAGACCAGCTGCTTAACCATTTCTACTAAACACTATTTTTCAGAACATTTTGCATTTGAAAAAAGTGTACAGGATATATTAAAATCTGCAGTATCTAAAGAGGGTTTGTTTCTTGCAGTGAGTTGGTTCTTGTGTGTGTGTGTGTGTGTGCTTTGATAGAATTTTTTATTCATTTTGTCAGCTATCTCCCCTATAAAGTGACTAATTGGTTTCAATAATGGGATATGATCTATTATTTAGAATCAAGTGAGGTCAGCCACTTACTTCTCCCCTATATATCTCACACTGAATGATAACTGAATAGTTGCAATCAGCAAAAGAGTTAGCTTGTATGTGTGTGTATGTGTGTATGTATGTATACACACACACACACACATCCTGTTTCCCTGAAAATAAGATATATCCCCAAAATAAGCCCTAGCATGTTTTTTAATACATGTACCTAATAGAAGTCCTACTCCCAAATAAGCCCTACTTAAGAGCCTGCACAATCCATCAGGAAGGGCCATTCCATCAGGTTTCTTGCAGTGCCACAGCTGTGAGGTGAGGCGGGGAGTGGAGGTACACCATGCATCCACACTGGCTTACATTAGGGCCCCCGCAGCGAGGCCATCTACGGGTATATATATAGTGTGTGTGTGTGTACAGAAGAAAAAGTAAATACCTTTCAAGATAAAATCTTACCTATCTATATTTTTGGGGTCTCGTGTTTTTAGCCACTCATTTAATTGAGATATATCATTAGATGGTTTCCAAGGTTCTCCCTTAAAAAAGTCTGGACAAATTGTACTGCACAAAAAATAAGTACAAAATAATTCATTAAAACCTTTCTTATTTAATTGCCACCTATAAGACAGATAATTCCCTCCCTTTTACAAAAAAATCATTGAGAGAAAGAAACAATAACATGTCTTAAACAATGAGAGTTGTTAAAATGGATGATTAGCAAATTGATTAATTAATAAACCCATATTCACAACATGCTTTCATGATAAAAGCAAAAATATATTATTGTCATTAGGTTAAAACATATGATTTGTGTAGTGGTATGAATTCTGTATGAACGCTGATGCACGGCTATAAATTGCATAACTAATGTATGCCAGCAGCTTTCTTGGTTTCACTATAGTGCATACAAAGAAAAAATTTCCCATATGGAAAATCATCCCAAAGGTCTTTTAGAGGAACAAGATAACCAACAGATCAAGTGACAGGGTGGATCTATGTAGCTTCTAAATGCAAATGTGAATTAATATCCTATATAAGTTGTCATGCATAATAATAGTTGTCCTTTGCTTCTAAGTATTAGCTTTCTGGATTGATAACTGATAATCAATCAATCAAGTTATTGGCCATTTCCAAATAGATTTTATTTTATTAATCTAACAATCACCAGGTAAATCAGCTCCAGTTAAATTAATATAGAAATCATTTTTATCATGTTGTATTTCATTTGCTGTGCTATGATTCTACATATCTATTCCATTACATATAAATAAGCTTGGACATACAAACCACATATAAATGAATAAATTAGAAGGCACCTTGAATTAAGAATGACACTACTTAAAGGAGAAAAGATCATGACGGAGAAAAAATAAAATCCATTTCTTACATGTATCCATTGGAAGCAACCCAATCAGCAATATATCTAAGATTTGGGAGTTGCCATCCAAATATGTCATGAATCACAACTATAGCTGCATCGGTATGAAAAGAGGGCTTTTTCACATAGGCCTTAATATGCTCAATTGACACTTCACATCCAAGAGGTTGATAATCAAACACATCTCCAAGGTCACATGGACAAAATTTAGGCTTGTCTGCCATCTGTAAATGTAATGAAACACATCTGTAAGACAATTCTTTAGCATGTTTGTAGATGACAGGGTGCATGCATATACTCTGTAACTTACATATTTTAAAATGGAATTACATATAAGCCTTGTAACTGTCCATTACAATAATTTATCAATAATTTTAAAGCTATAGTAATGTATTTAGGATTAGACATCCAAACCAAACATTCAGAACCTGATTTACATTTCAATTGGGTCTTACTATCATCTTAGAGTAATGTGATTATGGTAATACAAGATATATGTTGAGTGCCTTAATGAGAAAGAGACAGATCAAGGTTTATTGTTTCTGGATATTGTGTGAAGAAAATTAAGAAAAAGATGCCACAATCAGGATAGGCATTAAGAAAAAAAAAAGCTTTATATGTTAGAAATGCAGATAGAAGTAAGCTGGATTTTGTGAAGGTTTATGTTCTTTGACTAAACTATATGTAGGAAAGACAGAAAGAGAGATGGTCACCTCTGTACAACTTAAAACAAAACTGCTGCTTTCTATAAGAAACTCTTGGCAGAACAAGTAAGAACAAGATGAAGACTTTTATATACCTAGAAGTCCACTTTTGGCTCTCAACTTGCCAGGCATGTCAGACTCATGAAGGTTCTGCAGTGGAAGATCTTAAGCCCGTGGTGGGATTCAGCCGATTCTGACCAGTTCGGGCAAACTGGTAGCGATAATTCTGGCGGGCCCCACCTACCCCTCCCCGCCCAATCACTTCTCATCTCATTGCTCACCTAGCATAGCTGCTTCTGCTCTCCGTCTGGCTCCCTGGCTTGCTGCAACCACACGGTCTCTGAGGGCTAGCCAACTTGCCTGCCTTCAGCTGCATCCCACGCAGCACTCTCCATGTGGCCCAGCTAAGCTGCCCTGATCTGCCTAGGTGCTAGCAGCAAGGCCCGAATCCCAGCCTAGCTGCCTCCTAAATTGCCCTGTGGTCCCTGAGGCCCAGTGCGCTTCCCTGCCTTCCCTACTCCCTTCCAAGTGGCATGCAGCCTCACCGTGCTTCCCTGCCTTCCACACGGCCTTCCTGGCAGTCCCTGTGGCCAGGCATGCTTCCCTGCCTTCCCTACTCCCTTCCACATGGCACATGGCCCTGGTATGTTTGCATATCTTCTTTGCGGGGAAGGAAAGCAGCTGAGCTGCTGCTGCCTTTCATTGGGGCGCGTGGGAGATGGAAGTCCTCCAGCTGTCTCTTCTCTTCCCCATTCTCTTCTTTTCTTTGTGGGCAGAAGAGTTTTCTCCAGCCACACACACACACACACCCCGATGCCCTTGCTTTCCCCAAATTCCTCAAGCATTTCTTTGCCAATCTGATTTCCAGCTCCGCTGCATTTCTTGCCATCGTGTGCAGGGGGACAAAAGTTTGTGTGGGGCTAAAAAAGAATAGTTCAATCTATTCCAACTTCTCATGAAAGAAAAAGATCATGCGAAGTTGGAATTGATTGAGTGAAAAAATTTTTAGCCTCACACAAACTTTTGTTTCCCTGCACCTGATAGCAACAAGGAGAAACATGATGGAGATGGAAATCAGGTAGGCAAAGAAATGCTTGGGGAATTCAGGGAAGCAAGGGCATCTGGGCAGTGGTGGGTGGAGAAAATTCCATGGTGCAGGGCTGCAATGGTGAAATGGGCAACAGAGTGGCTTTTTCCTTGCTCCTCATCTTTCCCTCACACCAACCTCTATATTGCATTTCCTGCCCCAGAGTGCCAAGAGTCCCAGAGCGCATCGCGAAATTCGGCTTCTTGGCACTCTTGGGCAGGAAAGTACCAATGGGGAGAAGTCACCCCACTGAGCCCGAAAATGAGCTCCGTGGCACCTAAGATGGGGCCAGGTCATGACTGAGGCTGGCCTTGGATGAGCAGGTCTCTCTCTCCACTGGCTGAATTTCACGATGTGCTCCAGGACCTTCTGTGAGGAGATGGCATGTGGGCAAGCCTCACCTGCCACCTGTCGGCCCTGCTCGCTGCCTTACCCACAGAGCAGCAGCAGTGGCCACAGCGGCCGCAGCGGCATATCCAGCCATGGCAAAGGTGGCAGCAGTGGCCTTCGTCTTCAAAGGAGGGATGGCAGTGGGGGAGGGGCAAGCAGGGGCTTTGAACAGAGTGTCCCCTGCAGGGCATGGCTGGCCATGTTTTTTTGGGTGGGGGGTGAAAGTTGCTGGAAAGTGGGGCAGTTGGGGTACGTGCGGTGGAAAGGCTCTCCTGGGGCTTTGGTGGTGTCTGCCCTGCTGCTCACCAGGGCTAGGCCCTTCCCTCTGCAGGCTGCCTCCTTCAAGTGCCCAAGAATTGGTCCAAGAGATGTGATCTGCTCGAAGCCCCTGCAGGATTTTAGCCTCCCAATCCTGCAAGACGAAAGAGCCAGTTTCGTTTGCGGGTGCACCTGCTTTTGCCCCCCACCCCCCCTCAGGTTCTATGGACAGCAAGGCTTACCACAAACTAACAGATCAAGAATGAAAATGATTCCCCAAAGAGATAAAGGACTACACTTTGCTAGTTATTCTTTGCTTCCAAGCAAAAAGACATCCTCTTTATCCAAGGTATTTATAGCTATGTTAATATATCTCTGTCGCAATAAGAATCCTTATATGGTTATCCACATTACAATATCAAGGGAACATCAGACACCTTGATTTAGATCCCCCTTAAGAAATAGTCCCCGGGACCATTTCTTAAGCATTCTATTTATCTCATGTATCCTTTACTCACATTCTACATCTTACCGCATTCAGCAGCTGTCTTTTATTCATCTGTGCAAAACGTTCTATAAATGAAGCTCTAATATGCTTCCAACACACAATCAACTTTCTCTCTCCCTTCCATACATTTGGTTATGACTTCCTGAAGAGCAAATCTGGTCTGCACAGTCCCTGCCTAGCAGAAATCCTTATTCTGCGTCCCGAATTTGCTTTTGTTACCTCTCATACTTTTTGTTCAGAACTCTGCCAAATACCTTTCTGAGTATCCTTAAGAAAGTTATTTCCCTGTAGTTTTTTTTTCATGTCTTTTTGTTATCTTTTCTTCAATATGGCAGAATAAGGAAAGCATCAGCATTTCAGCTACCGATTTAACTTTTCTCCAGAAAACAATATGATTATAGAACAGATCTGATCTCAATGATACCTGGAATGTTGAAGCCAATTTCAGAGGGCTGGAGACTGTTTCTTTAAGGCAGTCTGCTTGCTGCTGTGGAATGCTGCAGCTTCTTTCAGGTTGCTTGGTACAGTTCTACTGAAAAGGCAGCAGAAAGATTTGCTTATTACAAAAGAGCTCAAAGGTTGACTGTAACTCCACCCCAGAGTGGGGAGGATTTCAAAAATAACTCCTCCGTGACTGACCTCCAGGCTGTCATTCATCACATGCTTTACATGTTTTATGTCCTTTTGAATCATTGGGTTCTTTATTCCTCAGTCCAGCTTTGGGGGAGAAACCACAATTTTGGAGTGTAAAACTTTTAAGTGTTCTGAAAAAGCATTTTGATCATGTCTTAAGACATGGCTGAGGCCTTTGGGGAGTTGCTGGGAGGAAATAAGGTTATTATAGTTCAATTCATGTAGCCCTTGCATTCAAGGGATGGTTGCTGTGTTCCGTTTTGTATGGCGTGCCGCAGATTATGTTACTATTAACCAACTTTATTCAGAAATCTATAGTTTCCCTACTATTGTGCATGCTAATATTTGAATAAAAAAATAAAATAATACAGTGGCTTGTCACAACTATGTTCTATATTTTGATGTTGCTACATTTTTAAATAATGGTGCAGTCTTATTTTAATTGTCTGCTGGGTAATACAATCAACTTTTAGAGTTATGCAATCACTTTTTCCTTAACTATTATCTACATATTAGAACCTAAAGGTTGACAACCTTAAACTAACAATTTATAACTTCAAAGATTTTTATAGGTTTTAAGAGGAGTTTAGAAAATGATTTGTTTGAAATGGTACAGTTTCGCTGTTTGAGCAGGGAGTTGGACTAGATGACCTCCAAGGTACCTTCCAGCTCTGTGATTCTGATAGAACATCCAAGCCTAAAGGACCTCTATTTCCTTTATATTTATTTACATTGTAAATATATATATATATGGCATTCCGCTTTGTTCGGGTATTTTCCCACGTCATTGTAGTTGTGCTTTTAAAGTTGTAGCGACGTTTCAGCAGAATCTCATCTGCCATCATCAGGCTTCTGTATTGTGTTCATCTGTGAATCAGACTTTTACAGTTGTTTCAGTTTTAAATTTGGGGCTAGCCTACTGCTGTGCCAGAATGTTTTTTTCTTCATCCTGATTGGTTGGGAGTCTTGGTCTGTGTTTATTGGTCTTGGAGTTTGCTGTGTTCTGCTTGATTGGTGTTTCTAATATCTTCTATCTGTTTTGTGGCTTTTTTTGTCTTGATTGGCTGGCAACATTGTTTTTCCTGTATTGGAGGCTTTTAGTGCAGCTTGGCTCCAAGTATATGGATGGCTATCATTTATTAGGAAGCTAGGTTTCATCTGGGTGCCTGGTTGGAGTGTGTTTGAGCTGGAGGTATCAGGGGGGATCTGTTTGTGCCCAGGTGTTTGCCTGTCTTGTGGTGCGGAGATTTTTTTGTTTGCGAGTGCAGGCTTCCAAATAATTGACAGTCTGGTGGAACCATCTCTTCTATTCATGCTTTCAGGTCTTTTTTCAATCTCTATGGCTTCTCTGATAATTCTGTGGCTGGGGTTTTTTATAGAGGCTAGGGTTTTGGTGCCATTGAAGTTGATGCTATGAAATGTGGCTTTCATGTGTTGGACTAGTGAGGAAGTGTGTTCCAGCTTTTTTACTGCATTTTTGTGTTCATCCAGGCGGGTACTTATTCTTCTATTGCTCTGTCCAATGTATGTGGCAGGGCATGATGCACAGGGGACTTCATATATGCTTTGGTTTTCCAGGTCAACTTTATCTTTGAGGTTTCTAAGGATGGCTGCTATTTTTCTATCTGTTTTGAAGGCAGTCTTGATGTGATGCCTGTGTAGTATCTCTATATATATGGATATGAATATTGCTTTGGACTTTGCAGCTTCAGTGCCTGGGCTCAGTTCCATCTGGCAAAGAATCTGTGTGCTGTTTTCCAATGCTGGCCTAGAGCTCACAATTTGTGCCTTCACAACTTGGAAACTAGGTCATGATAATATCTGTTCTAGTGGGTTGTCCTTGGTAGCAAAATATTAATATGGAGATGGTTCATTTTGAAAGGACGCATTATTGGAAACAAATCCTTTTACAAGGTACCTCCAAATGAAAAGAAGTGGGCAGCCACTCCAAAGAAGCCTTATTCAATTCCATCCTAAGTAGGAATTTAATCTCAAATCCTATACATGCTGTTTCCCCACCTCTACATGTGTTTTCCTTCTGAAAGCAACATTTGCTAGAAGCCACATTTGAGATGTCTGACATACAGTGTCTTTTGTATAGAAGTGGCTTTATAAAAACTGGCTAAATAAAATTAGAGGGATTTAGTTCTAGTGTATTATTTTCCATGAAGGAATGAAAAGAGAATGAATAAGAGTCATATGAAGGAATGAAAGCTTAATAAGTAAGCAACTATAATTATACCATACACATTATTTTTATAACGATTATCTCTGGCTTTTCATTAAATTCTGAGGCGGATCTCTTTCTTTTTCTCTTTCCCTTCTGGAAGGGAAGTGCAGCATTTTTGTTTAGGCATTAAAAATTTTTTTTAAAAAAAAATGAGTTTAACATAATTTTTTATGAAGTGTCATAGATTTTAGCAAAAATGACATGATCCATCAAATGAATCTATAATACAAAAACTAGATAAAACCTATTTCTTTTAGCATGCTACATTTTTACAAACATACACATTTAGTGTATTTTAGTTTATTGAATTGCCAACAAAGTTTTGAAAATGAGTTATCTCTTTTACATCATTCATAAAATAAGCCATCTTCTAAATATGGTTAAAAATGTAAAAATCGGTTTGGATCATTCTTCCATGTTTGGAAAAATTGACCAGGAGGGGGGTCCAAGAGGAGGGTTTTCTCTTTTGTTCCTCCTGCCTCTGGAACGTCTTGCCCCCAATGTGAGGTTAGCCCCAATCCTCCTATCTTTTCATAAGGGCCTAAAGACATGGCTGTGCCAGTTGGCTTGGGGCTCCAGTGGATCAGTGCAATGGAGGTGGTTGATTGAGTAATAACAGATCGCAGCTCCCTCCCACTCCACCCCAGTCCGCCCCATGTGTCTTTGGTTGTAAGGTTTGATTTTTAACATTTTATGTTTTAATCAAGATAAGCCACCCAGATTGTTGTGGTGGTGGTTTTTTCTTTAAATTAAGCACCACAAAACCTTATATCTGTAAAAAGTATATCAGTTTGGCCATCCTTGAATATGGTACTCCCAAACCCAGTACCTGGAGACTGCGTGAGCCTGGATGAGGGAGAACAGGCTTGATCAAATGGCAAAATCAAATTGTTTATTTGACCTCTTGGTTCCATCTTTAGTCTTTGATTTGGCTGCACTTCCCCACGCAAGGAAGAGTTTAACCCTCCTAGTCAAAGAGTTCAATTTTTATTTGTGTTTGCTTTCATCTTCAACATAGAGAGAAACAACTAGCTCAAGCTATTTTCTAAAGCTCCTGTAGGCCAGACAGCCCCCCCCTTTTTTATATACAAAAATTAACCCATTTTTAAAAATTAGTTTTGAGCTCCAACATACACAAAACACTTTTGCTCAATGTATATCTACTGTAGATGCTATAAATACAGTAACTGGTTTCTCCTTTGTATAGTATACTTTGAATGGCTGTGGAAAGGAGGAAATGTGGATCAATGATGGGGTCACAAATCAAAGTATCTCTCTACACTGCAAATCTGTTTTCTCTTTTTTTATTCCAATCCCCAAAAGAAACTCTGATTGGTATATATTATATAAAGGGCATGTTTTCAAGACTTATTTTTCTTTGTAACCAGTCATCTTTGCTTTCAATGTTGCAAACTATCACAGTTATCATCCTCTGTGGTTTTTTCTTTTAGATCAGGATTGAGAACAGGGCTCTGTACTTTTTCTATTCGGTCATTCCTCCATTCTGCAATGGAGTTCATGTCCACATAAAAACACTGTAGTATTAGTGGATTTTAGTATAAAAGAGAAGTCCATCCATTCAGGGGTG